CCCTGTCTGGTACGTGCCTGGCCAGTACCCTTCCACAAGCAGTGGTCCCCGTGCCTCTCTTGATACCAAACCAAGTACCTGCTGGAAATGAAGCAGAACACAGACCCTTGGCCTGGCCTTGTTTAGTAGCTCTCTCGCTCTCCACCTTCTGCAGGGTTTGACCTTGCTACATGGCTCTGTCAACCCATTCCTTCCACTGCAGTGCCAACAGCTCAGCAAAGCAACAGTCATTTTGATTCATTTAGACTTGCTTATCACATTCATTTACTTGCACTAAAGACATTGCGGTGGACTGTTTTATCTTTCAGCCTCTTGTGTTTGTCAGAAGGTATTTTAACTAGTGACTGTGAAGTTAGATCATGAAGGCAGAAAAGGTCCCCTGTCTCTTCGTCCCGAGTGTCTGCTTACTTGGAAAATGCCTCAACTCTTGGGCATGCTTGCTTGGAACTAAGCAGCACTGAAGGAAATGCATCTTCTGGAACAAGGTGTCCATCGACCATGGTTCAGGAAAATGGTCAGAGCAGCTGTGCATTGGCCTACTGCCCTAGTTTCGGATGCACTAGCATGAGGAACCTGGATCCTGGAAGAATTGTAGCCACATTTCCTTACAGGAGTGCAAGGTGCCAGCTGCAACTCAGTGGACACGACACGACGATCCCAGATAGTGTTGCCAATCCCCTTATGGGGGTGTGGGATCCCCCAGTTTGAAGCCCCTCCCCCTGCTTCAGGGCTATCAGAAAGTTGAGGGAATGGCTGCTGGGCACTCCATCATACCCTATGGAGACCAGTCCCCATAGGGTATAATGGAGAATCAATCTGTGGATATCTGGGGCACAGGGGGTTGGGGTTTTTTTAGTTAGAGGCACCAAATTTTCAGCATAGCTGCTGGTGCCTCTCCTCAAAAAACCTTCCAAGTTTCAGAAAGATTGGACCAGGATGTCCAATTCTATGAGCCTCAAAAGAAGGTGCCTCCATCCTCCATTATTTCCAATGGAGGGAAGGCATTTAAAAGGAACACGGTCCCTTTTATTGCGACAACCAGCTTACCCAGAACTCACTTCAGATTTCAATCACACTTCTTCCCTCCCATCTCCCAGAGCCTCCGTCCCTTCTCCAGGAGCCTCCAGGTAAGTCCCCCATCGGCTTGTCGGCCTCACCTGGCAACCCTAATCCCAGAGGATCCTGCAGTTATCATATTGCCCACTGTTTCTTTTGGAAAACTTCCAGGATTTTATGGAGTGTGCCGTGAATTCTTTATTAGTTCTCCAGAAACCACTGTCTGAACTTCCCTCTGACAGCCCAGTGCACTGGACAGAAAGGAAAGAGGTGGTTTGTTTTGTGCATCTCTTCAGCTTTTTCTAGGGCTTCAGGAAGGACAATGTTGGCATGTGTGCTCTTCCATCCCACTGAGTCCTTCCGAGTACTTAGCACATCTGCAGGTAATCTCCTGCCATGTTGTGCTGCAATGCCTTACACCCCAGAATTTGCACCCTCTCAGAATGTATATCAAGGTTTCTCATAACTGGGTCTCCACTTCGTACTGGCTCAAGAGACTAGAAATGATCTTTTTCTAGATAGAAGAAAAGAGGGGTGGGTACCTAGCCCAGAGGAGAACAATAACCAGGTCACACCTTAGCCACAGAGCTCCGGAGGCCAAACAGTAAGAACAGATCTTCTTGTTACCGGTAGTAGAGGAATAGAAGGAGGGTCCACAAAGAAGCAAGGAGGAGATCATAAAAACCTTGAACATGACAAAGAAGCTCTCTTGAGCAGTCATTTGCCATGAAGGATTAAGTCCTGCTTGTCTTTTCTACACCCGGACTCCCTCTTGAGCACATGTGACTGATATCACAGGGGATGAGCCGCAAACACTGGAATGAGATAATATACCATTTCTAAATGTTTTTGCTACTCCTGTCTTGATTTTCCATCATTTAAGGTACGTAACGAATTAGGCTAAGAGGACTGAGTGCTATCACCTTTCCTTTTGTTCGTTGCTCAATCCGTTGTGCTTGCTTAAGATATGTGCACTTTTATTTCTCTTTTAAAAAATGCTTTGCATGTTAAATGTTTTTGAAACACCAGAAAAATATTCAGATGAGTCAATTACACCACTGAAGCCATGTCCATGCAAACCATGGAAATCAAGCCCAGTACAACTATCATCTCTGTCACAGCAGTGAAGGGTACACGAGCTTTAGAGTCAATTGGGCTATAAGCACCAAGATCTGTTCCTCAGATGTTCAGTGATTCATTCTCTACCCAGTGAGACACAATGTACACTGCTCATCTCCAGTTACCTCCGTTGTCTCGTCAGCAATAATGTTTTTAAAGGGATTCTGTTCCAGCTCTGTAATGAGGTCACATTGGAGGTTTTAAGCCAAAATCTCAATTAGTTCATTTTGGATAGTGCCACTCAGCCATTTATCTCTTGGTATGAGCCACTTTTTAAGGGCGGGCAAAACTTTTCTCCACAGTGTTTCTCACTAAGGTCAACGCACTCCCTTCTACTTTGGCATGCCTTCCATTTGCCTGGTCTGTGTCTCAGACATAATGCAAAGAATTCACCATGATGTGCAAGGTCTCTTGCATCTCCTCTGGCTGCATTCTTGACTCCTTTTTAAGGAACTCAACAGTGTGCGCACCTTTCTCTTTTGTTAGATGGTTCCTCACCAAATCAAAATGGTAAGTGCTCTTTGGCTGCTTTGGAAGGTGGACTGCATGAAACCCTACCAAGGTCCCTCCCCCTTCGTAAGCCCCACCCACACCCAAGCTCCACCCTCAAATCTCCAAGCATTTCCAAACCCGGCGTACGCGACCCTAGCCCCACCTGGAAACTGGTAACATTATAACAGAGAGCAAAATTTCACAATGCAATCTCCAGGGACCCAGGGCTGGGGCTCTAGGCCGGTTCCTTCAAGGGCTCCATCAGGAGGTCTTCGCCTTCTTGCAGCTGCTGGAGCATTTCAGCCCCCAAATAACTCATATTCTGCAGAAACTCAAGGTTGTGATTCAGAACGCACCAGCATGTTTGTAAGTCGCCTCATCTGCAGAACGCTTAACATCTGGATCTGGGAGTGCAGATGTAGGAACAGGGGAGGGGAGATTTTGTGCTGAATGGGCTGCCCTTGAATGGGAGAGCCAGTGTGGTGCAATGATTAAGAGCAGCGGACTCTAGTCTGGAGAACCGGGTTTGATTCCCCAATCTGCCACATGAAGCCAGCTGGGTGACCTTGGGTCAGTCACAGCTCTCTCCGAACTCTCTCAGCCCCACCTACCTCACAAGGTGTCTGTTGTGGGGAGAGGAAGGGAAGGCAATTGTAAGCCGCTTTGAGTCACCTAAAGGTAGAGAAAGGTAAAGGTTCCCTTGCTCGAAAGCCAGTCGAGTCCGACCCTAGGGTTGCGGTGCTCATCTCCGTTTCCAAGCCGAAGAGCCAGCGCTGTCCGAAGACGTTTCCGTGGTCATGTGGCCGGCATGACTA